AGAACAGATAGCCCCGTAACAAGGAATTACGTTGCCGTTGCCCCTAGTGACACCGCGGAATGTCTGCGGTACTACAATGCTAGAAACTGGGTTTCGATACCCGTGGTGGGCAGAGCACAGATAGCCCATTGTGCTTAATTACAAACAAACAAACTTCTTGCTTAAAATGTATATTTAGAGTCGTACTAAATTTCCCCCCACATGAAGTTGAGGTGGTGAAATTGAGGCGCGGGCACACGGGGCTCGAGCCCCGAATCACCATTTGATGTCTTGAAAAAGTAGAATAGAAAACCATGATCGATATCATACTAAAACGCCGAAAATTCCCGCGCTTATTTGCCCGAGCCCCGATTCTTTTAAGTACCAAGCGACGTTTCTGGTTCGTACTTTAAGTACACACTGTAAAACCTGAGGTTTAGATAAAGATATCAAGCCTAAATCAAGATATTGAGGTTTAGATAAAGATATCAAGCCTAAATCAAGATATCAAAATAATCCCATTTTCTAATTTCATTATAACTACATTCTTCGCTAAATAATTCCAACGTATTACAAATTGTTCAGAGATCTGTTTGATTGAAAATCAAATCTCAGGTTGAATGTTCCTATAAACGGCCCCTGTCTTTATCTCTCCAAATATCTGTCTAAAGCTATAAACTCTTCTCAAGAAAGACGCCATATTTGGATAACTGCTTTTTACCCTACTGCTTCGATATTTTTGTTACTATTAGCAGATCAGTTCTCCCAGTTCCGTAGTCAGTCCATCAGTTATCTTAGAACAATGTCAAGTATTTATTTCATCTTTCTGTAAGAATGCGTTAGATATAGTCCAGGATATTAGGTTTAGCTGGTTGTTTAATTTATTTAATTAAACGATAAAGTCCATGATATTAGGTGTAGCTGGTTGTTTAGTTTATTTAATTAAAATATAAAGTCCAGGATATTAGGTGTAGCTGGCTGTTTAGTTTATTTAATTAAAAGATAAAGTCCAGGATATTAGATGTAGCTGGTTATTTAGTTTATTTAATTAAAAGATAATGTCCAGGATATTAGGTGTAACTAGTTATTTAGTTTATTTAATTAAAAGATAAAGTCCAGGATATTACGTGTAACTGGTTATTTAGTTCATTTAATTAAAATATAAAGTCCAGGATATTACGTGTAACTGTTATTTAGTTTATTTAATTAAAATATAAAGTCCAGGATATTAGGTGTAGCTGGTTATTTAATTTACTTAATTAAAATATAAAGTTCATGATATTAGGTGCAGCTGGTTATTTAGTTTACTTAATTAAAAGATAAAGTCCATGATATTAGGTGTAGCTGGTTATTTAGTTTACTTAATTAAAAGATAAAGTCCATGATATTAGGTGCAGCTGGTTATTTAGTTTACTTAATTCAAAGATAAAGTCCATGATATTAGGTGTAGCTGGTTATTTACTTTACTTAAAAGATTCAAATGTAAAAGTTATCACTGACCATTCTTCAAGAACGTAAAAAACAACATTTGAACTTTGATCTCAAAACAATTTACTCCCATTTAATGTTTACAATCAGGAAGTTTGAAAGCAGAACAACACATTTTTCCATGATCACATAATCCAAAGAAAACAGAAATCCAAACCCCTAGCCGTTTGGAAAACTTGTTGAAATACTTGGGGAATATGTTTATTTCACAAATTAAATACTTAACTTGAGATCCTATTTCTAGAATATATTTTTTGTTCTTTCTAAATAACTATAGATATTGTACATTGTAATTAATATTTCTTGACTAAAATTAACAACAAGATATACTTGTCTGATATATTTTCTTATTCTCATCATCATCATCATAGACAGCAGTACATCGATAATTCTACCGATGCTTAGCTGCCACACAATCATGAATTATTATTACAAGAAAATGGGGACAAAAGTGGGATCTAACACGCCATGAATACATTTTCTTATTCTAACGGAATGAAAAAGAACAAACCCTGTGGGCATTGGTTAAAGTTTGGAGTAATTATCTTGACCAGTTCTACGTAACTTTAAATACCTTATACAGTTCTGGAAACAAGTCCTAAGCTCACAAACCACTCGTGTACTATCGCTGTAAAGACCAGCAGAGTTATTATATTAATATAATTATCTTGACCAGTTCTACGTAACTTTAAATACCTTATACAGTTCTGGAAACAAGTCCTAAGCTCACAAACCACGCGTGTACTATCGCTGTAAAGACCAGCAGAGTTATTATATTAATATAATTATCTTGACCAGTTCTACGTAACTTTAGATACCTTGTACAGTTCTGGAAACAAGTCCTATACCTACAAACCACGGGTGTACTATCGCTGTAAGGACCAGCAGAGTTATTATATTAATATAATTATCTTTATTTTCTTCCGGTCATCCAGTACAAGATAATGTCCATTCATTAGCTGTACCTCAAGACAAGCTTCCGTTTGATCCAGACTGTTTAGGATCTCCCAACGACTGTCCAAAGACATGTGCTGTAATAGAATTTAATGTTGGGTGTTATAAGTGTGACTGTAATCACTCGAATGTCTCCAAGGTGGACATGACTGAAGCAGGTAAGTCTTGTAGAGTATTTCTAATTGGGTTTTGACTCATTCTAAGATATATTTTTGTCCCCAGTGAGCCAGTGGTAAGTTTAGTGACTTACAACACTAAAATCCGGAGTTCGATTCTCCACGGTGAACAGATAGACCAGTGTGTAGATTTTCACTTTGAACAAACATTATCAATTACGATGTTAACAGTGACTACACAACGTACGAGTGATAACTTTATTTAAAAAATATAAATATAACGATTCTTCCTTCTTCAGCTAACGTGCACAATTATCGTTAAGATATTTATTTTAGTTAAAGTTGAATTTCGCCTAAAAATCAGCTCATGTTTTGTAACCGCGGCATAACGGCCGATAGAACGGCTCTAAGTTTTGTTTGTTTGTTTGTTTTTCAAGTACAAACTTTTAGCTCATAACTCCGTCATCTCTTGGCCGATTTGAGATCTAATTGCAGTTTTGGACTCAGGAGGTCAAAATATTTTGCTTGATACACAAGGTCTCATAGATTAATTTACTCTAATCCTGCCTACAATAATTTAAATTTGAGGGTAGAGATCCTGATGAGTAATAAAATATAATCGGATATACGCAAGCCCCAGGCTTGGTATTGCTGGCGCACAAAAATGTAGCTAATAATAAAGGGAAAAAAGGTCTCATAGATTAATTTACTCTAATCAAGCCTAAAACAATTTCAAGTGCCGCGGCTATTGAGGATTCTTTCTTGTTTTTCTGTAGATGTGAAAAAAAAATCTTAAGAAAGATGTCATTAATGGGTATCTCTAGGGTGGCTGTTATATGTGTGATATTAAAAAACAACGCTAGTTTATTAGAACACTGTGCTCTCAGTGTCGTAGTCACTTATCTAAGAACGACACCTAGTGTTTCTTTTATCACTCTGTAAGAATTTGGTAGATGAAGTGCAGGAAATTTGAAAGTGGGGAAACTATTTATCCAGATTTCAATCGTAAACACGGAAACGGATATCCGGCCAAGCAACGGATATCCGGCCAAGCAACAGATATCATGTAAATTTGAAATTATGTAATGAAAAAGGCGGAGTGTAACATTATTTAATTAAGTTGATATTTAACTTGGCTGTTTCTAGAACGTTTCGCTATTAACACAACACTGTACGTTAAATTGAAATATTGCTTTACTTCTTTTACCATCTGAGAAGTTACGAAACTCAACCGACGGTTTTTTAAAGATTAAAATAATGATTTATTCTTCAGAATATTTTAACACATTTAGGAAGTAGATCGGCTGATTAAATTGTGTAAACAAAAAATTATTCTATTTTCAGAACACTTATCTTCTGATCATCCAACACCAGATAACGTCCACTCATCACCTGTACCTCAAGACAGGCTTCCGTTTGATCCAGACTGTCTGGGATCTCCCAAGGACTGTCCAAAGACGTGTGCTGTCATTTGAGTGATTACAGTCACACTTATAACACCCAACATTAAATTCTATTACTCTCATGTGAACATGACTGAAGCAGGTGAGTCTTTTAGAGTATTTCTAGTTTGTCTATTTTTATAAATGGCTTTTTCTCTCAGGAAGTACAAATCCTTTGTTAATTATCCTGTTAAGATAAGACCATATTCAAAAATGTGAATTTTTTATTCGTTTTCTCTATTCTACGTAACCTCTTTTTGTCTATCTCTATAAACAAATCTCTTATTAAAAGCTTTCATTTGTTATCCGTTTTATTTTTTAATAACAGCGTTTGTGAAGAGTCAATTACGATGTTTAATGTGTACAGAATACGAATACACAGTAAATATGAACGCGTGAAAAACTAGGGGGGGGGGGCATTCAGAAGAGCGCATACATCCTCTACGCAGCGTTGGTTATATTCGACTTTCAAGAAATACGAAAATGTGTCCGTATGTCCGTCGTTATCAACAGACACGAGCCATTTTTGGCAGGACAGTGAGGAAGGATATATACGTTACAGAAGTCCACCATTTTTGACTGAGTTCTAGAGTAAAAATAGTGTGAAAAAAATCGGTCCCCATGGTAACAGATAAGGATTTTCGTGATCTTGCTGTGACCTTGAGCCTAAGTTGGGTCATAGTCCAACTGTATACCAGCTTTCGTCCAAATCTATTCAGCCATTTTTTGAGAAATCTTGCTGACAAACACACACAGGGGTGACAAACACAACCTTCGTCCACCTACGGTGGCGGAGTTAACCACAATATAGATAAGAATAACCTAGGCTTTAGATAAAGATATTAAACCTGAATTATATATCGAAATAATTAAATTCAAAACTTCACTTAAATTTATCACGGCTTTCTTCATTTCAACAGCATTATCCTAATGTACATAAACATTTTTTATTGATGGTCAGATCGCACGTTGCTGTTATATTAAACACACACTTTTTTAACTTTCATTATTACCAGTTCTTCCAGTACTATGGTAAGTACATCACTTTATCCAGGAACGATATCTAGTATTTCTTTTATCTTTCTGTAATACATTGTTAGATAAGTCCAGGATATTAGGTGTAGCTGGTTGTTTAGTTTACTTAATTAAAGGATAAAGTACAGAACACAAGGTTCAGCTGGTTGTTTAGTTTACTTAATTAAAAGATAAAGTACAGGATATTAGGTGTAGCTGGTTGTTTAGTTTACTTAATTAAAGGATAAAGTACAGAACACAAGGTTCAGCTGGTTGTTTAGTTTATTTAATTAAAGGATAAAGTCCAGGATATTAGGTGTAACTGGTTGTTTGATTTACTTAATTAAAAGATAAAGTACAGGACACAAGGTTTAGCTGGTTGTTTAGTTTATTTAATTAAAAGATAAAGTACAGGATATTAGGTTCAGCTGGTTGTTTAGTTTACTTAATTAAAACATAAAGTCCAAGATATTAGGTGTAACTGATAGTTTGCTGTTAAACATAAGGGACTATTAGTATTCTACCCACAGCGGGTATCGAACCGTTATTTTTAGCGTTCGGATGTCCTCAGACTTACTGCTAAGCCACGGGGACGAGAGGTTGTTTATTTTACTTAATTTAAAGTGTAAACTTATCTAGCTCTGACTGTTCTTGAAGAACGTGGACACACCATACGTAGAGTAAGTTGCCTCGTGACAATTTATTAGACGTTCTTTAAAGTTCTTTATCTAAAACTTTGGAAGTGGAATAGATATCTTTCCTGATCCAGATGCAATGTTCAAATATTTTATAAACGAGTACATTTTTAAAAATATGTTGAAGTTCTCGGCTTTATTTTAATGAATTTCATATTCAACTTGCCTTTTTCGAGGGCATTTCGCCATTTTAAAAGTAACTCATCAGCACGACCTTTTGAATACTAAAAATAAGTCAACAGTTGATATATAAAATCAATGTTATTATTGTATTAAAAAATTTCATCTTTTTTTGATCGTCCATCACCAGATAACATCCACTCATCACCTGTACCTCAAGACAAGTTTCCGTTTGATCCAGACTGTCTAGGATCCACCAACGACTGTCCAAAGATGTGTGCAGTAATAGAATTTAATGTTGGGTGTTATAAGTGTGACTGTAATCATTCGAATGTCTCCGAAGTAGACATGGTTGAAGAAAGTAAGTATTGTAGAGTATCTTTAACTATGTACAAAAGGTACTGTTAATTTTTTCTGCTAATCTTACGATTTTTGAATATCGTGGGTGTTAGTTAACACTGTTTTTATCTTCTCTTCATCATCCATCACCAGATAATGTCCACTCATCACCTGTACCTCAAGACAAGCTTCCGTTTGATCCAGACTGTCTAGGATCCCCCAACGACTGTCCAAAGACGTGTGTTGTAATAGAATTTAATGTTGGGTGTTATAAGTGTGACTGTAATCACTCAAATGTCTCCGAAGTAGACATGGTTGAAGAAAGTAAGTATTATAGAGTATCTTTAACTATTTATAAAAGGTACTGTTAATTTTTTCTGCTAATCCTAAGAGCTTTTGAATATCGTGGGTGTTAGTTAACACTGTTTTTATCTTCTCCTCATCATCCATCACCAGATAATGTCCACTCATCACCTGTACCTCAAGACAAGCTTCCGTTTGATCCAGACTGTCTAGGATTCCCCAACGACTGTCCAAAGACGTGTGCTGTAATAGAATTTAATGTTGGGTGTTATAAGTGTAACTGTAATCACTTGAATGTCTCCCAGATGGACAAGACTGAAGAAAGTAAGTCATGGATAGTAGTTATGTTTGTTTTTCATGTGGTTCTCAGAATGTACAAATTGTATTGTTGAAGTGTGAACACATTCTAAAATGTTTCTTTTGTTCTCGCCAAACCGTTTTTTTTATCTTTTAATGACAACATTGATGAGTGGTCAGTCTTTTTAGTTTTTGTTTCTTCATGAACCTGATTTGTAGGAAACGTGCATGACTTCTTAATTAGCCCCACAGTGATACCGCGGTATATCTGCGGACTTACAAAGCTAGAAACTGGGTTTCGATACCCGTGGTGGGCAGAGAACAGATAGCCCCGTAACAAGGAATTACGTTGCCGTTGCCCCTAGTGACACCGCGGTATGTCTGC